AGAAATTGCACAAGATGGTCAATGAAAATTTTATCAAGGCTCTGATGTGTGTAGCGTAAAATCTCAGTGGATGTAGTATTTATTTTCCTAAATAAAAGCAATATATATTGATTAATTTAATTTAGAATATATATGAGATTATTTCATGCACTGTTTTGTTTTGTTTATTTATTTATTTATTGTTATCCAAAAAACATGAATTCTTAGAATTTAAAAATGGCAAGCAATGCAATCCCATCTTGATTATTATAGTGCCTGAATGATTGAATCACAGACTTTAATTAATTTATAGTTAAACTTAAAGCCTGTAATTAAATGGATATTATTTCATTGTACATAACTTCATGTAGATTTATTGAAAATAATAATATGTATTTAACAATCAATTCATTTACTTCTTTTGCACAGACATTTTTTCTGAGATACCCTTTCCAACTACATGAAATGTATAAAGTGTCAAATTTCAAATCATTTACAGTAACTTGCATTAAAATAAATGATGATTTTATATTTTTCTTCGTAAATTTACAATACTGAGCTGAATATATAAAAAATAACTAATAACTAATAATAAACTTTAGCATGGTAATCTAGTTTAAACTAGTTAATTATCACTGATACTATCATTTTTGGAATTTTTTTTTTAATGTGTACACTTTTGACAAAAATTTTCTAAGTGTTTCCATTACTTTAACAAGAAATTTCTAAGTGTAGATTTGTACAAAAATTTTCTAAGTGTCTACTAATTGCAAGCTTGCGGCATTGCAAGCTTACATCAAATGTTTGCAAGCTTGCATGAATTTTAAACAAGCTTGCAATATATTTCAAAAGTCATCGCAAGCTTGCGCAAGCTTGTTGCAAGCATGCAGCAACCTTGTATTTAAGCTGTAAGCTTGCGGCAAGCTTGTGACAAGCTTGCGGCAAGCTTGTCGCAGGCATGCATTTTGGTTTGGGAAGCGTTATAGCGGATAAGGTGCAGTATTGATATACATGAAAATAAATTTTAAATCAGCGAAAAAAAGATTTTTTTTGGGAGCCAAGGCATATGAGAGTTAAACTGAGATTAGTTTTATATCGGAGAGTGTTATATCGCGGCTGCAGTGTATGTAAATTAATAAATGTCAAAAATTAGACAAAAAGTTAGACAATAAAATGGTTAAAAGCTGTTGTCCCCAAAATAAGATATGGGAAAGGCTGATCTGCAGGAACCACACACTAAAAAACTAAACCCTGACAAATGAAACTGCAAGCACATAAAGAGTACATTATGAAACAGCACATAAAAATAATATAAAACAGAAAAAAAGGCCTCATACAGCCTTACTTTATGGCAGACAAAATACAAAAGAAATCAAAAGAAACAGCTACATTAAGCATGAACTTTTTACATACACAAAGGCAGTAACTAAAGAGTAGGCATACAGAACAATACTCAAAAAAGAAAAATCATTTAGGCACACATAGAACTTGCATTTGAAGCCACTCCAGGTCTGGATAAGCCTCTAGAATTCGCTGTAATCAGTTTCTGTTCTTAGCTCATTCGGGAGGCTATTCCAGACCTGAGTGGCCTCGTAACGAAGGCTTTTCTTACCAAAAGTCTCTGTGTTTACTCTAGGAATTTCTATTGATACCAAAGTTATTTAATTTCCCCAAGATCCTGGCTTTTGTATTCAAAGTAAATACAGTCAAAACTGCCATAGTGACCCACTGTATTCAGCGACTTCCTGTCTTATGTGACCCTATTTGGGTCCGCCCAACGATTTTGGCTATAAAGTTGCACTGTATTAAACGACTCACCGTGTTACGTGACTAGCGACCGTGATTTGAACGGTCCGGAACGGGCTAAGCACTGTTTTTAGCGACTATGTTATGAAAGATAACTCTGTTCCTACTTCCTGTTTCGTTGAAAAAAAATGTTGGAAAGAAAGAAAACACGTATTGTTTTAGATCTTCAACAGAAATATGAAGCCTTACAAAAATTGGATAAAGGAATACAGGCGTATAAAGTGGCAAAGAACTTTGTGTTGGAAAAACACAAATCCAAAACCTTCCTAAATGTAAATTGAAAGTAATTTCGGACTTTGAAAATAATGTTCCATTGAATTCTAAACGTCGGAGACATGCAACTGGTAACGAGAAAATCAATGACTTAACCTGTGATTCTGACATTATTTTATTAGTTTCATAATCATGAATTTTAAATATCAATAACATTGTACATGTATAAATTTTTAACATGGTAAAGAAACAATATAATTCTGACATTTTAATAATTTTATTTAATATATAAACATTAATTTTTAATAATCAATTTTACAATCAAATATTCAATAGCATTTTACATGTATACAATTTTAACACTGTATACACTTTTTCTGCTCTTATCATAAATAAATGTTTTAACACTAAATGTATATGCTGTATTAGTATTAATTAACTTTTTAATAGTGTTTGGATGTTTTACTGTAAACCTGTATTAAGAGACTCCCTGTCTTATGTGACCTTCTTAAGAAAGTCCCCTGTAGGGTCACATAAGACAGTTTTGACTGTATGTAGTTTTTCATCTATCCTACTTACCAAACATTACATTTGTGCAAAAAGGGGTGATAATCTTAATTATTATACCTTGAGTAATTTTTTTTACTATCAACCCTAATGTGGCATCACATGGTGTTATTTCAATATATCATCCTGGAATGAATACCACCCGTTTAATAATTTTCCCCATCTGCAAAATATCTTTATAGACTTAAGAAAACTAGAAATATTCTCTCCCCTGGCTGCTCTGCATGCCTCAGACGCTTGCAATGTGCACTACAGTGTATAAAGCGTCATGCTATACAGACTAGCTGACCAAAGGTCTTGTTAACACCGACTTACCACAAGACAATTAATGATAAAATTCTTTTGGTATGATAAGTATCAATGGTCAATGGCTCTCGTGGTAATAATGCAGAGGTGAAAAATTACATTAAAATGTTGGTTCGATATAACACGAGGGCCATGATGATGGCCCTTATATCGCTCACTTGACTATGGAGGCTCAAAGTCTATTTCAGTGTAAACAGTAACCCCATAGAGTGTTAACAAGGTTTATCAAAGATGACCCATATTCGAACTTGACCTAAAATTCATCAAAACAACTTTTCTGACCAATTTCAAGAATATTTAGACTTAAACATTAGTCCCTTGAGTGAAAAAAAGATTTTTCCATGTTTGGGCTGTGTGACCTAGTTTTTGACCCAAGATGAGCTATATTCCAGTTTGACCTAGGAATCACCAAAACAACCTTCCTGACCAATTTCCAGGATAATTAGGTTAAAACTGCAGCTAATAGAGTGAACATTATTTTTCTATTTTTAGCTCCTTTGACCTAGTTTTTGACCTGAAATGACCCATATTCAAACTTGATTAGAAATCATCTAAAAAACCTTTCTGCACAATTTTCAGGATATCTGGACTGAAACAGTAGCCCCTAGAGTGTTTACAAGATTTTTCTTTATTTGGGCTGACTGTGCCCTAGTTTTTGACCCGAGATGACCCTTATTTGACTTGACCTAGAAATCATCAAAACAACTTTCCTGACCAATTTCCAGGATATTTGGATCAAAACTGCAACCACTAGAGTCTTAGCAAGATTTTTCTAATTTTAGCTTCTCTGACCTAGTATTTGACTCAAGATTACCGTTATTCAAACTTCACCTAGAAATCATCAAAACATTTTGACCAATTTTGAAGATATTTGGATCAAAACTGCAGCCACAAGAGTGTTAAGAAGATTTTTCTTTTGACCTAGTTTTTGACCCCTGAAGACCCACATTCGAACCCGACTTAGAAATCATCAAAACAACATTCCTTACAAATTTCCAGGACATTTTGGATCAAAACTGCAACCACTAGAGTGTTAACAAGATTTTTCTATTTTCAGCTCCTGTGACCTGGTTTTTGACTCGACATGACGCATATTCATGGGTGCAAGTTAAAAATTCTGAAAAACCTGAAGTATTTGTTTGGGGGCCAGGGGGCCGCAAGGGCCTCCGGTGGGTCAAGGGCAACGCCCGGCCAGGGGTCCAGGGGGCCTCTGGCCCCCGGAAGCTCCTGCATTATAGCACATTTGAAGGCCTAAAATGCAATTCCCTTGAATGATTACATGCCAGATAACATACATACTGTAGTATAGTATTTTCACTTAAATATTGCTCACATAATTATTTTCTTCTTTTCTCTCTCTTTTTCTTAATTATATAAACAAAAACATTTCAACACAAAAAGAAATGTGCATTCATATATTGTTTCCACTATTTAATATTGTGGTTCCAACAGTAAAGAGTGATAAAACAAACCGATATATAAATAAATTGAAAATTGAGTTGATTTGTACCGAGTTCACGTTTTAATTTGATTAGGGTTGAGCTGACCCTGATTCCATACAAACAATAAATTGTTTTCAAAAAAAGATAATTAAAACAAGCCTGGTTATGTTTCACAGTAAGTTTGTTTTTCATATGGTTTGGATCGTCTGCGTGCATTTAATTTTTTTTTCCACTGGATCCATACTTGATGGATTTTCTACATGCAGTGCAGAAAGCTACACCGGTAACGTCTGGCTTTTCCAGCCAGTTTCCGTAGTTATCCCCGTTTCGATTACATACAGACAACCATTCCCATCATTTATTTTTTGAGGTCTTCTCGATATCTTTTGTATTAAATCCTTCGTGTAGAAACTTCATTTTGACTAACAACTTGTACAATTACTTTCTGTTTACATATTACTCTGTAGCCGAATCGGTATCGAAGCCGCTTTTTCATTGGATGATTATAATTAGCGCGCTAATCTAAATCGTTGTAATAAATTCACGGATAAAATTGCATGCCGGGATTAATAATACATGTTTTCCTAAACATCTCGTATATCTTCGGAAACTATCGGCAGTTTCCGCGAAAGTTTACTATTGACGCTTCGAGAACAACCGTGAGTATCCGTATGTTAATAAGCGTTCTCGATTATGAACTTCTAATCGATGGTACTTCTCAGTTCAAAAGAGTAGACCCGCACCATACCCCTCCAAATATCTCAACGGATTTACGTGATTTGCAAAAATGATCACTCCGGCACGTGAAAAACCGGAACTTCCGGCACATGCCGGAAAACTTGCACCCATGCATATTCAAACATGACCTGTCTTTCAATGATACAAACATTCTGACAAAGTTTGATTATGATCTAACCAAAACTGTGAATACTAGTCTAAGTGTTAACAACCCAAATGTTGACGACGCACAAGGACCGGCGCAGCCCCATCACTAAATCCTATGTTGACAATTTCGTCGTCAGCTGAGCTAATACAGAAAATAACACATCTCTCAAGGTAACAGTGCATATTAGCAACCCTTGAACTGAAATAATGTTATACCCTCAGCTCTGCCTCAAGTGTTATTTCAGTTCTCAGGTTGCATATATGCACTATTACCCAGAGAGACATGTGTTAATTTCATATGAAAAGCTTCAAAGATTAAGTAGTGGTATAGTATGAAGCTATAGGCATAGATTTATCCACCTTGCCATAGAAGGAGAACAAAAACTCAATTCAATACTTCATTGTTCGTTTGTTGGTTGTTTTTTTTTTTGAACTCTGAAAACCTTGCTTCACAATTTGTCCCAGTGTTTTTCCCCCAAATACTTTTAGATTACATCCCGAGTATTTGCATTTAATTTATTTTATCTGTGTTCCTTTTGACTTATGTATTTCTTTACTTCTCATCCAATAGTCCTTCAAATTTTGGCAGAAGAGAAATAACTGTATCACCGGAATCTGATTCCTGCTTCCCCTCTTCCTCACAACTGGATGACGCTAAAGCTGATACACCAGAATGCTCATCAGGAAGAGAATGATTGGAATTACTTGCCAATGCCTTATTGCTGCCTACTTTTGCTCTCCCTGGTAACTTTGTAAAAGTAGACTTGAAGGTTGCTACATCCTTTGCAAAATCTTTTGACTCTGGGCCTAAGGTATGATCACTTATTTCCCAAGGCATTTTTAATGGTGCCTTTGCAATGTCTTTTTTACATTTTGTATTCTTGTTTTTAATCTTTGGCAATGTATCTTTTTTTCTGTACTTTTTTTCCCTTGTCTTAACTGGTTTAGTAGGATTACTTCTCTTAGATGCCATTCTAATTGTTTTATCATCACTGTCTGGAAAAGTCACACCCTTTTGGACTGAAAAATAAAGATAATTTATATTTCCATGCTTGAGGATAAGGTTTAATCGCTCACCTGTATATAGGCCCCCTGGGAGGGGCCAATTTTAACCCAGGGGATTTTATTTGAAGAAACTTGGTAGACACCCATTTGAAGATGTTTCATGATAAATATCTAAGCTCTAGCTGTAAGAAGATTTTTTAAAGTTTTTACTATACACATATAGGGAAAAAATAATGACCCCCCTCTGTGTGGGCCCAATTTTGTCCCCAGGGCTTTTATTTGAACAAACTTGGTAGACACTCACTAAGATGTTTCATGCTTAATATCTAAGCTCTAGCTATTTGGGCTTTTTAAAAGATTATTTTTTAAGTTTTTATTACATATATATAAAGAAAATCAATGATCCCCAAGGTGGGGCCAATTTTAACCAAAGGGCCTTATTTGAACAAAAATGATAGACACCCATTAGAAGATGTTTCATGCAAAATATCTTAGCTCTAGCTCTTTGGATTTTTTAAAAGAAGAGTTTTTACTATATACATAAAGGAAAAACAATGACCCCCTGGGGCGGGGCCAATTTTGACCCCAGGGCTTTTATTTTAACAAACTTGGTAGACACCCAGGAGAAGATGTTTCATGCTTAATATCTAAGCTCTAGTTATTTGGGCTTTTTAAAAGAAGATTTTCTAAGTTTTTACTATATACATAAAGGGAAAACAATGACCCCCTGGGGCGGGGCCAATTTTGACCCCAGGGCTTTTATTTGAACAAACTAAGTTGACACCAACTAGAAAGGTTTCATGCTTAATATTTAAGCTCTAGCTATTTGGGCTTTCTAAAAGAAGATTTTTTAAGTTTTTACTATATACAAAAAAGGAAAATAAATGACCCCCCTGGGCGGGGCCAATTTTGACCCCAGGGCATTTATTTGAACAAACTTGGTAGACACGGACTAGATGATGTCAAATATTTAAGCTCTAGCTCTTTCGGTTTTCTAAAAGTAGATATTTTAAGTTTTTTCTTTCGGTTGCCATGGCAACCAGAGTTCTGCTTAGAATTAAATTCTTTGGAAAAATTTTAAAGTTGACTACCAAAGGAACATTCCTGTGAAGTTTGGATGAAATTGGCTTAGCGGTTTATGAGGAGTGTTGTTTAAAGTAAAAGTTTACGGACAGACAATGGACGGACGGACGATGGACGGATGCCAGACGAAAAGCGATCACAAAAGCTCACCATGTCACTTTGTGACATGTGAGCTAAAAAAAAAAAATAACGAAAGACCCATTTCGCCTAAAAAAATGTTCACTGGTATATTTTTGATTTTCAAATGCTTGAATTCTTTGTATTCTGTTATAGTTACTTACTGACCAATTACCTGAACCATCTTTTGCTTATGTTACTTTCTAGCAATTAGTAAAATTATATCGAGTTAGTATCGAGTCAGAAAACTACTTTTGTTACATTTTATTACATATATGACAAGTGATTTTATTTTTTAGCACTTCTTTTGTCAGGTGATAAGCATGTTGCAAGCTCTTAAACCATTATTTAAACATTATAAAATTCATGACTGCCCTTCCTAAAGATTCAAAACCTTATTTGATTCCGAGGCATAATGTGCCTCAAAATGTAGTACTGGGACAAAGTGCCAAAGATCTAAATTCATTTTAGTAAATCACTTAAACCATGGTGTAAAAATGTAATAATGAGACATTAATACATGATAGGGTATGGCCGGAGGGTGCTAATCGGCCAGCAAAATTAATAATTAAGCACTATGTATTTTATCACTCAAATTCAACTTTTTTTAATAAGTTCAATATGAAAAGACACTCATGTACATGTAATCTTTTGCTATTTAACATTGCCCATTTTATAAAAAAAAATTAAGAGGAATGTTTTCATGTTTATTTTAATGATTCACCAGATTGTAGGACCTTACCCTGTGTTTTATAAGCATCCACCTCAAGTTGTTCACCAGCCTCATCCTTTATTTGTACATCTATTGATATTTCGGACATTTCACTATCAGAACTCACTACCTTGACATTACCTCCATGCTGAAAAATAATTTAATTAATGATAAAACTCTTAGATTACTTGAGTGATTTAACTTTATCGTCTTTCGGACATTGCATGTGACTGAATGGTTTTCACGTCAGACTTTTAATCTAAGGATTCCTGGCCATGTGGGCTTAAACCCCATCAGGCAAGTCATTGTTTCTATGAACAAGAAACATTTCACATTCATTGCTTAATAGTGGTTGGTTCAAGGATCGGATTTAAGTTTATAGCTTTCAACACTATTAAACTAAAGTAAATTAGTATAAACTAAAAAAATACCATCTTGTTTCTTCCATACGGATATTTTTGAATTACTCATTTTCAAAATTCAATTCATAGTTTTTATCACTATATAGATATATATGGCAAATTATTTTGGTATTATTTAAATCAATGATGAATGCCTCTCTTTAAGTTATAACGCATAGTGGTGAAAAAAAGCATTAAAGTGTTGGTTAGGTATAATAAAAACAATAGCACATCCCTCAGGTAATAGTGCATATTAGCAACCCGACAACAGAAAAAACACATGCGGCAGAGTCGAGGGTTTTATTTCAGTTCTCTTATTATATCTTTAAGAGCATCATTCATCATTGATTTTCATCATACCAAATGAATTCACCATAGAAGGAGAACAAAAAAATCAATTCAATACTTCATTGTTCCTAATTTGTTGCGGCTTTTTCTTCTTTTTTTTAGAACACTGAAATCCTTGCTTCACAATTCTTCGTGGTGGTTTCTCTTCCAAATACTTTCTGAGTTTATTCTGGGTGTTTGCGTTCAATTTATCTTTATCTGTGTTCTTAATGACTTGTGTGTTTCCTTTCTTTTCATCAAATATTGTATCTAATTTTGGCAGAGGGTTAGTTACTGCATCTCCGGAATCTGATTCCTGCTTGCCCTTTTCCTCACAACTGGATGGTGCTAAAGCTGATACACCAGATTGTTTACCAGCAAACAATTGGTTAGACATTCTTGTCAATGCCTTATTGCTGCCTACTTTGACTCTCCCTGCCAATTTTTGCAGTATGTCTTTATTTCTGCAAATTCCATTTCTTGTTGCACCAGGTTCAGTTGGATTACTTCTCTTAGCTGCCATTCTTATTGTTTTATCATTACGGTCTGGAAAAGTCACACCCTCTCTGACTAAAAAGGTATAGATAATTTATTTTTCCATGCCTGAGGATAAGATTAAATGAAACAGCATTGACCAGCTTAAAGGACTTTAATTTTCACAATCGAAATATACAATTTAGTTAAAGAAATGATAAATTTCTTAATCAAAATTTCTACTGAAAGAAATACCATAAAATATCAGAACATTTCCTGTTTACCCTCTGTTTGAGAAGCATCCACCTCAAGTTGTTGACCAGCCTCATCCTTTATTTGTACATTTATTGATATTTCAGACATTTCACTATCAGAACTCACTACCTTGACATTACTTCCATCCTGAAAAATAGTATTAAATTAATGATTAAACTTTTAGTTGACTTACATTAAAGTTTATCGGTCACTCAGACATTGCACAACTTATTTTATACTGGTTTGTAAAAAAAAGACAAATATTTGAAAATTTGATAATCATAAAATAACAATTATATTGCTTTATCAATTTTTTGCTCCCAATAACTTGCATATAAATTGATCTGCGTAAGATTTCTATTTTGATTTTTTTCAGGACTTTTGGATCTTCTCCTTTCACTACAAAACTGTAACTCAAGCTTCTTCTGAAAATATTCAGATGGATTTGATGAAAAAAGAAAATTTAATTTAAAATATTTATAAGGCTAAACAATGTCATTTAAAACTTGAGGTCAGTTCAGCCAGTTAGAAGGTCTTGTTCAAAAGGCTGTTTTGTCCAAGTATGAAGATAATCCATTTAATACCGCTTCTTAAAAAGGGTGACATTAATGACCCAAGTAACTATAGAGGAATAACTTTACTAAGTTCTTTTGGTAAATTATTTACAAAAATTTTAAATGATAGATTAAATACTTGGGCAGAAAAATATCACGTTTACATTGAAGCTCAGTCCGGTTTTAGACAACAAATGGGAACCATAGATAACATTTTTGTTTTGCACGGCCTTATTACGTATATGTTGAATAACAATATGAAACTATATGCTGCGTTTGTTGATTTTACTAAGGCTTTTGACTATTTAGTTAGAGATATTATATGGTTTAAATTAATTAAATATGGTGTAAGAGGTAAAATGTTAGACGTTATTAAATCAATGTACGAAAGTGTAAGATCCAGAATAAAATATCAAAATGTTTTGAGTGAAGAATTTTCATGTGTGTTAGGCGCCCCCAAAGGAGAGTCTTTATCACCTTTTTTGTTCGCCATGTATCTTAATGACATAGAAGAATATTTTATCATGAATAAATTTGAAGGAGTTAATTTAGGTTTCATAAAATTGTTTTTACTTTTATATGCAGATGATAGCGTTATTCTATCTGAAACAGAAGAAGGCTTACATAAAGGTTTCAATTGTTATTGGAGAATTATTGTGATAAGTGGAGATTAACTGTAAATATTAAGAAAACTAAAATAATGATTTTCAGAAAAGGCAGATTAAGACATAACATTTCATTCGTATATAAAGGAGAAAATTTTGAAATTGCCGAAAAATTTACTTATTTAGGAGTAGTCTTTACAACTGGTGGATCTTTTAATACTTCTTTTGAAACATTATCTGCTCAGGCTTTGAAGGCATTATATAAATTACAACTAGATTTAATTAAATTCTCATGTATAACTGTGAAATATAAACTAGACCTTTTTGATAAATTGATTTCACCAATTTTGAACTATGCTTCAGAGGTAAGCGGTATATATGATTGTTGTAAATTAGAAAAAGTGCATTTAAATTTAAAGACTACAAACTCAGAACAATTTTATTTATGGAGAATTAGGTAGAACAAATTTGAAATGCAGAAGAATTGTAAGTGTAATAAAATACTGGCTTAAAATTATACAGCTTGAAGACATAAAATATGTTAAAATAGTTTATGATTTATTGTACAGAGAGTTACAGGTAAGAACTAACAAAAAACAAGAGGGCCATGATGGCCCTAGATCGCTCACCTGATTTATCAAACTCATCCAAACAATTACCTAGACAAGCATTCTGACCAAGTCTCATGACAGGTGAGTCAAAAATGTGACCACTACAGTGTTAACAAGGATTATCCATATTTGAGCAGTGCGACCTAGTTTTTTACCCAGGTGACACATATTCAAACTTGACCTAGAAATCATCAAAACAAACTTTTAGACCAATTTCAAGGATACTTGGATCAAAACAGTAGCAACTAGAGTGTTAACAAGATTTTTCTATTTTTAGCTCTGGTGACCTAGTTCCACATGCGATTTCGAACTTATCCAAGCAATTACCTAGACAAGCATCCTGACCAAGTTTGATGATAATTGAGTCGAAAATGTGACCACTAGAATGTTAACAAGGTTTTTTCCATATTTGGGCGGTGTGACCTAGTTTTTTTCATCCAAGATGACCAATGTTCGAACTTGACTTAGAAATCATCAAAACAAACTTTCAGACCAATTAACAGAATATTTGGATCACAACAGTAGCCACTAGAGTGTTAACAAGATTTTTCTATTTTTAGCTCCGGTGACCTACTTTTTCATCCGAGATGACCCATGTTCAATTTCTTCCAGCAATGACCTAGACAAGTTTCCTGACCAAGTTTGATGACAATTGAGTCAAAATTGTGACCACTAGAGTGTTAACAAGGTTTTTCTATTTTTAGCTCCTGTGACCTAGTTTTTCATCCGAGATGACCCATGTTCGAACTCATCCGAGCTATCACCTAGACAAGCATCTTGATCAAGTTTGATGATGATTGATGCAAAAATGTGACCACTAGAGTGTTAACAAGGTTTTTTCTATTTTTAGCTCCGGTGACCTACTTTTTCATCCGAGATGACCCATGTTCACACTCATCCGAGCTATCAACTAGATAAGCATCCTGACCAAGTTTGATGATGATTGATGCAAAAATGTGACCGCTAGAGTGTTAACAAGGTTTTTCTATTTTTAGCTCCGGTGACCTACTTTTTCATCCGAGATGACCCATGTTCGAACTCATCCGAGCTATCACCTAGACAAACATCTTGACCAAGTTTGATGATGATTGAGGCAAAAATGTGACCTCTAGAGTGTTAACAAGGTTTTTTCTATTTTTAGCTCTTGTGACGCTAGTTTCTCATCCGAGATGACCCATGTTCGAACTCATCCGAGCTATCAACTAGATAAGCATCCTGACCAAGTTTGATGATGATTGAGGCAAAAATGTGACCGCTAGAGTGTTAACAACTAAATGTGAACGGACGACGGACGGACGACGGACAATCATCGATCCTAAAAGCTCACCCTGAGCATGCTCAGGTGAGCTAAAAAAACATGGGTTACAAGTGTTAAAGATTTATTACAGTCGCTTGGTTTTAATGATGTATGGTTATCTCAAGGCGTAAGCAATGTAGTTTTTT